CAAGCTTTAAAATGATATATGACACATACTAGGGAGACATTTGTATATGTCCCTCCTAGGGGGGGGGCATACTTTCCCGACACCCTGTAGATAAAGGGACAACATGAACAAAGTATAATGCATAGACTCATCGAGATTATACCTCAAATAGGAACAATACGTACAACTATTAGAAGATATCACATGAATTGTAAAAATTACTTCATATCTTGGTTTTATACAATTATACTCACTCATTTTTGTTATGATATTTTCCGTGAAGTAAATCGTAAATTGGCCTTGTGGTAAGAAACTCGTGCATTCTTTATTGCATTCTTTATTTATAAAGATGTTTGAATTCAGCCACAAGAATCATATTCACAGTAACCCAACGTTAAATGTTTCAGACTGATAAATGTTCTGCCTTAGTCGTTGAAATAATTGGATAACTCACAGATTGATGGATATAAAATATTTTTATTCAGCCTGGCAGCTCGACTATGTACCTTTAACACAGTTGAATGGGGGCGTGTATAATAGATAAGTATAATACGCTTGGTTGGATTATATATAAGGCGATTTCATTAATCCGCTGAAGGATCGTAAATTCAATACTTCTCTCCAGAAAAACATAGCACGCTTTATCGTGCATTCTGTATGATTTGCATAAATACAAAAACATAGAATTTCGTCCAGGAATGATGTGCTTTTATGAAATAACAATATGATACAATGATTTGGGTTCCAATCTGGTGAAAAGGTTCAAATCTGGTAAAATGTATGTCCATGACAAAGCCATGCATGATAGATTTAGCGGGATATTCAAAATAGGAAATAGTTAAACTGTGGCTCTAACCTCTGAATAAAATGATAATTAAGAAGAAAAATTATAATTATTCACAATCCAGACCCCCCCCCTCCTGTCTTCATACGGACAGATCCCCTTGTTTAATGTGGATATTTCAAACGATCGGTGTGTGTAAGGAATGAGGATATTTCAAACGATCAGTGTGTGTAAGGAATGGGGATATTTCAAACGATCAGTGTGTGTAAGGAATGAAGATATTTCAAACGAACAGTGTGTGTAAGGAATGGGGATATTTCAAACGATCAGTGTGTGTGTAAGGAATGAGGATATTTCAAACGATCAGTGTGTGTAAGGAATGAGGATATTTCAAACGATCAGTGTGTGTAAGGAATGGGGATATTTCAAACGATCAGTGTGTGTAAGGAATGAGGATATTTCAAACGATCAGTGTGTAAGGAATGAGGATATTTCAAACGATCAGTGTGTGTAAGGAATGGGGATATTTCAAACGATCAGTGTGTGTAAGGAATGAGGATATTTCAAACGATCAGTGTGTAAGGAATGGGGATATTTCAAACGATCAGTGTGTGTGTAAGGAATGAGGATATTTCAAACGATCAGTGTGTGTAAGGAATGAGGATATTTCAAACGATCAGTGTGTGTAAGATATGGGGGTATTTCAAACGATCAGTGTGTGTAAGGAATGAGGATATTTCAAACGATCAGTGTGTTTAAGGAATGGGGATATTTCAAACGATCAGTGTGTGTAAGGAATGAAGATATTTCAAACGATCAGTGTGTGTAAGGAATGGGGATATTTCAAACGATCAGTGTGTGTGTAAGGAATGAGGATATTTCAAACGATCAGTGTGTGTAAGGAATGAGGATATTTCAAACGATCAGTGTGTGTAAGGAATAGGGATATTTCAAACGATCAGTGTGTGTAAGGAATGAGGATATTTCAAACGATCAGTGTGTAAGGAATGAGGATATTTCAAACGATCAGTGTGTGTAAGGAATGGGGATATTTCAAACGATCAGTGTGTGTAAGGAATGAGGATATTTCAAACGATCAGTGTGTAAGGAATGGGGATATTTCAAACGATCAGTGTGTGTAAGGAATGAGGATATTCCAAACGATCAGTGTGTAAGGAATGGGGATATTTCAAACGATCAGTGTGTGTAAGGAATGAGGATATTTCAAACGATCAGTGTGTGTAAGGAATGGGGATATTTCAAACGATCAGTGTGTGTGTAAGGAATGAGGATATTTCAAACGATCAGTGTGTGTGTAAGGAATGAGGATATTTCAAACGATCAGTGTGTGTAAGGAATGAGGATATTTCAAACGATCAGTGTGTGTAGGGATTGAGGATATTTTGAACGCGTGTTACAGAAAATATCTCCTCAAATTTTTATTGACAAAATACAACAAATGCAACTTTGGACAAGCTTTAAAATGATATATGACACATACTAGGGAGACATTTGTATATGTCCCTCCTAGGGGGGGGCATACTTTCGGGACACCCTGTAGATAAAGGGACAACATGAACAAAGTATAATGCATAGACTCATCGAGATTATACCTCAAATAGGAACAATACGTACAACTATTAGAAGATATCACATGAATTGTAAAAATTACTTCATATCTTGGTTTTATACAATTATACTCACTCATTTTTGTTATGATATTTTCCGTGAAGTAAATCGTAAATTGGCCTTGTGGTAAGAAACTCGTGCATTCTTTATTGCATTCTTTATTTATAAAGATGTTTGAATTCAGCCACAAGAATCATATTCACAGTAACCCAACGTTAAATGTTTCAGAATGATAAATGTTCTGCCTTAGTCGTTGAAATAATTGAATAACTCACAGATTGATGGATATAAAATATTTTTATTCAGCCTGGCAGCTCGACTATGTACCTTTAACACAGTTGAATGGGAGCGTGTATAATAGATAAGTATAATACGCTTGGTTGGATTATATATAAGGCGATTTCATTAATCCGCTGAAGGATCGTAAATTCAATACTTCTCTCCAGAAAAACATAGCACGCTTTATCGTGCATTCTGTATGATTTGCATAAATACAAAAACATAGAATTTCGTCCAGGAATGATGTGCTTTTATGAAATAACAATATGATACAATGATTTGGGTTCCAATCTGGTGAAAAGGTTCAAATCTGGTAAAATGTATGTCCATGACAAAGCCATGCATGATAGATTTAGCGGGATATTCAAAATAGGAAATAGTTAAACTGTGGCTCTAACCTCTGAATAAAATGATAATTAAGAAGAAAAATTATAATTATTCACAATCCAGACCCCCCCCCCCTCCTGTCTTCATACGGACAGATCCCCTTGTTTAATGTGGATATTTCAAACGATCGGTGTGTGTAAGGAATGAGGATATTTCAAACGATCAGTGTGTGTAAGGAATGGGGATATTTCAAACGATCAGTGTGTGTAAGGAATGAAGATATTTCAAACGATCAGTGTGTGTAAGGAATGGGGATATTTCAAACGATCAGTGTGTGTGTAAGGAATGAGGATATTTCAAACGATCAGTGTGTGTAAGGAATGAGGATATTTCAAACGATCAGTGTGTGTAAGGAATGGGGATATTTCAAACGATCAGTGTGTGTAAGGAATGAGGATATTTCAAACGATCAGTGTGTTAGGAATGAGGATATTTCAAACGATCAGTGTGTGTAAGGAATGGGGATATTTCAAACGATCAGTGTGTGTAAGGAATGAGGATATTTCAAACGATCAGTGTGTAAGGAATCGGGATATTTCAAACGATCAGTGTGTGTGTAAGGAATGAGGATATTTCAAACGATCAGTGTGTGTAAGGAATGAGGATATTTCAAACGATCAGTGTGTGTAAGATATGGGGATATTTCAAACGATCAGTGTGTGTAAGGAATGAGGATATTTCAAACGATCAGTGTGTAGGGAATGAGGATATTTCAAACGATCAGTGTGTGTAAGGAATGAGGATATTTCAAACGATCAGTGTGTGTAAGGAATGGGGATATTTCAAACGATCAGTGTGTGTGTAAGGAATGAGGATATTTCAAACGATCAGTGTGTGTAAGGAATGAGGATATTTCAAACGATCAGTGTGTGTAGGGATTGAGGATATTTTGAACGCGTGTTACAGAAAATATCTCCTCAAATTATTATTGACAAAATATTTGCTCTTTTATACCTTTGCGCATTCAAATGATAACGTTTGTTGGTTTGATTCACTGTTTATGGGGTGAATGGAAGTTCTTTTTTGGGAGGACCTAGAATTCTGTCATTCTGGCGTAAATTATTTGGTTCAGCAGGGGACGACTGTCTGTTTTGACTATGACTTGCCATTATTTATTGGAAAAGTGTTGTAATCATTAATCACGTTATAAATGACATGACGTACACGGAAATAGGACAATAAGCCTCTGAAACATTCATCCCAAAACACACGGGAAGAGGAATAATCGTAACTTGTGACATAATCGAAGCGAGGGCAACATAAATCGTCCTGCATCGTAATAACTATAGCCTATGACAGATCCACTTTTTGCGTCACTAAAAATAAACCCATTTCTCATTTATACATGGTAATTTCCCTATTGAGTTGACACGGAAGTTTAAAATCTAAATTAGAAATCGGTACGGACCCAAATGAGAAGGAATACATAAATCTGCTAAAATACTTTTGCAGAGTAGAGAACTATCATATATCAGTCTGGTTTTGGTTGGAAAAGACCTGGACTTCCTTTTTGGCGACTGACGTTGTTCCGGGAATTTTGTACATAAGACCTAAAGAAATGTTTCCAATCGTAATGAAATTTGGCAGAATAATAATAATCAAAATATATCCAAAGACCATTTACTGAAAATTTCAAGGAAAAATATGAACTATTGGTAAAGTAAGAACAAAAACTTTAGGACTTATGGGACAACCCTCGTATAAGTTTTTGGACGCTTTCTAACTGATCAATGACGATGTTGAAAAGATTGAAAAATCTAAAATTCCAAATGGGGTAATGGTTGGTTTAAATCAGGTTCTATCCGTGTAATTACGAGTGAAAATATGGAGACTTTATTTTATTTTGTTCATCTTATATTTATGCATTATGGAATGATACACTGTATTGTATTATCGTATCGTATCATATTAGATAGTATCGTATCGTAATTGTATTTCTTACCAGGAAGTATGTTCGCCCTATATGTAACGTCAGCATATTTTTGAAGTACTTTAAGGAAGAACGTCACACAATTGCAGAGCATTGTTAGCTTTTGAAGGAGATCTTTACTTTGCAGGAATATGTGCCTGAAAATACATGAAGAACGTCACACGATTGCAGAGCATTGTTAGCTTTTGAAGGAGATCTTTACTTTGCAGGAATATGTGCCTGAAAATACACGAAGAACGTCATACAATTGCATGCATTGTTAGCTTTTGAAGGAGATCTTTACTTTGCAGGAATATGTGCCTGAAAATACATGAAGAACGTCATACAATTGCAGAGCATTGTTAGCTTTTGAAGGAGATCTTTACTTTGCAGGAATATGCGCCTGAAAATACATGAAGAACGTCATACAATTGCAGCGCATTGTTAGCTTTTGAAGGAGATCTTTACTTTGCAGAAATATGGGCCTGAAAATACATGAAGAACGTCATACAATTGCATGCATTGTTAGCTTTTGAAGGAGATCTTTACTTTGCAGGAATATGTGCCTGAAAATACATGAAGAACGTCATACAATTGCAGCGCATTGTTAGCTTTTGAAGGAGATCTTTACTTTGCAGGAATATGTGCCTGAAAATACATGAAGAACGTCATACAATTGCAGCGCATTGTTAGCTTTTGAAGGAGATCTTTACTTTGCAGGAATATGCGCCTGAAAATACATGAAGAACGTCATACAATTGCAGCGCATTGTTAGCTTTTGAAGGAGATCTTTACTTTGCAGGAATATGCGCCTGAAAATACATGAAGAACGTCACACAATTGCAGAGCATTGTTAGCTTTTGAAGGAGATCTTTACTTTGCAGGAATATGTGCCTGAAAATACATGAAGAACAGCACAAATTATATTTGTTGACAGAATGTGTTCGCTTCTTCATAATTAAATTACTGATCAACAAGGTGTCTGTCTTTTAAATCGTATGATTTTGTTGAATCTCTGATGCTTGGATTGATATCGTGTAGAGGAAATGGTTCACTAGTTTATTTAGATGTATCTGTGAACAAGCATTTCTACAGATGCAGACACGTATTTACTTAGGCGCATCCCTAATCAGATCATGCCAAAAATGTTTATCCAACGTCAACCAGATTTTGAAAATAAACACACTTTAGCGTCGCTTCACTTGAGACACGGAAGCAGGTAATTATTTACTTCTGGGTTAAAAACGCTTTGATTGATTTTGAAGTTGTTCAAGCAGTAAAAATACATGTATACGCAATCGTAATACAACCCCTACTTCTAGCAACTCTAGCGAATGGTAGGTAACTTGTAAGAGGAATAATGGGTATCGGAAAACAAAGCACAATTGGACAAGTGTAACCTTGCAGTATACGTACTGATAATGTAACAATCTATTTAGACGATAAGATGAACTCCTGGATACTCAGTTTTGTATAAACATATGTACTGATACCATGAAGAAAAGATTGGCCGCAGCTGGAGCGTAACAGAGATTGCAAACATCACCTGTTCTTAAACCTGCTCGCTGATAAACCCAGAAGCACTCCATGCCGAATACATATTGCACCCGTGCCATACGTGCTAAGATGTGTAGCACGTGCTAAGATGTGTAGCACGTGTTTGAATTTCTATTGAACCCGGGTTTGAGGTTCGAAATCCAAACAATAGACGCTCCTAACCCGTGCTGTAAATCCAACCAATCAGAGCGCTCCTAGCCCGTGCTATTTTTGGGAGCAATCATTATGGCATACTGACTGGCCGAAATTCAATATTGTTGTACCCTCACGTGGTAAACTCAGTGGAGGTTTTGTACTCAGTTTGTAGTCAAGATAGCAGATTTGAAGGTAAGAAGTTGCTCAAAGTAAACTAGACTAAACGAGGATCAAACATGATAATGTTTTTGACAGATAAATTCCACATAAACTCGTGAATTTCCCGTAATAGTGAGCAGATCTCTCTATTATCGCCCATTTCAGTGTTTTATTGCGTAAAATCAAAAGATCATTTTGCAATAATTATTAAAAAATATATTCCTATTGTACATAAATGACATTTGTTTAACCTGCAAAAAGATAACATCGCTTACAAATTCTTAAATTAAGGTGACTGTTAACTTAATCGATTTTCAGAAAAAATTGAAAATTTCACAATCTTGAAATTTTCAAACTCTTCCTGAGAAGTCATTTTTATTATTTCACATATGCTTGTGCACTGTAATCATTACAAAGACATCAAAGAACAACAAAAAACTTTAGTTTGAGAAAAAAAGTGCCGTTTAAAGAATTTGAGAAGATTTTTTTCTAGGAGTAGCACGTGAAAAACCACTGATTCAAAATATCTGAACATTTCAGAAAATATACTTCAAACATATATCAAAAACGAAGGAGCAACGGAAATTTGAAAAAAAATTGGGATCAAAATAAGGAAAAAAGTACACTTCTCAAATTGTTTTTTTCTATTTTTTTAATTTGTATGAGAGGTTTCAAAATTCCAAAGCTCCTTCCATTTTGGGCTATATTAAAGGGATGTTTCAGAGAAATTAGAAAAAAAAAATGTTCAGGGACCTTTGCCGTGCTACTCTTTTTGTCGATTTTTCTGTCACATTTTCAGAAGACTCAAATTCCCATTCCAAAATGTTTACTGTTTCTATTTGCATTACCACAGTGAGCCTGGTTATATAAATGATAAGTGGAACTAAAAAATTGAGAGAAAATCCAACCAAAAGACAGTTAATTTTGATGGTCAGATTATACTCAAATGCCATGTGCTTCCTGGTTTCGGCCATCTTGGATTTTTTGATTAAGTTATAAGTTACCTTAAAAGAGGACACAGGCTTACTGCACAAAAAACTAAGAAGACTAGAGTCCATTTCACTGCTTCATTTCGTCAGTAGAACGGCAAAAATAAGAAATTGAGAGACCATTGTGCAATAATATATGGAAAAGTATATTCATAATGTACATGAATGACATTTGTATATCTTGGATTGCTTCTAGTTTGGCTTATAAAGTGTGTGGCCTCTTATATTGGGATGCTTCTCTGCCATGTTATTTTCAATAAGATTAAGGTACAGCTGGAAAGTAACATTTTGGTAAAAAATTGCTATACCTGCACATGTTATTTTCTGGTACAAAATAAAGTATGAAGGCATGTATCAATTTCCTTGCTTTTTTCAGGAAAGTATCATTACATTGTCTTCTTTTAGAATATCTGGTAGGCGTTCAAAGGGAACTCCAGGGAATTTTGATATTTCACACTTCCTGTTTTTCCAAATTTTCTTTCAAAGTTTCCAGACAACACAGGAGCTACCATTGACCTGTTTCCAGGTTTACTAAAAGTAGACAGTGTAATGATACTTTCCTGAAAAAAGCAAGGAAATACACACATGCCTTCATACTTAATTATGTACCAGAAAATAACATGTGCAGGTATAGCAATTTTTTACCAAAATGTTACTTTCCAGCTGAACCTTAACATGGCTGAAATTCTTCATATTACAAGACGGCACAGGCTTATTGCACATAAAACTAAAAAATCTGAAATATACAAATGTCATTCATGTACATTATGAATATACTTTTCCATATATTATTGCACAATGGTCTCCCAATTTCTTATTTTTGCCATTCTACTGACGCAATGAAACAGTGAAATGGACTCTAAATGAATCTAAAAGTTCATGTTTCAATGTACGTGAGTACCATGTTCATGTATAGAAGTCTAGATTCACATATTTAAGGTAGTTAATCATTCTATGAAATTTACAATGCTTCTAAATGCCATTTAATATAACCATTGTCACAGTCATATCGTGCTTTAACATTACCACGGTCGTGACAAGCCTTGCAATATAGTATAGCATTGTCACGATTATACCAGGCTTTCGCGATAACACTACCACGGCCATGGCAAGATCCTTGCGAAACTTAAAAACACTTAATAACCTGGTGACGGTTGTGCCAGGCATAAGTCTTGCAATAGATAGCATGTATGCTTCTCTGCCATAGTATTTTCAAAAAGATACTTTGTAACATGGCTGAAATTCATTATAAGAGGGCACAGGCTTATTGCACAAAACAGAACTAAATAATCTGAAATATACAAATGTCATTCATGTACAATATGAATATACTTTTCCAAATATTATTGCACAATGGTCTCCTGATTTCATATTTTTGGGGTTCTACTGACGAAATAAAACTGAAATGGGCTGTAGTTAACTTACATCTTAACTTATGTTTAAGCTTATCTCCAAAATGTGGAGTTGATCAGCCAGCCACTCAGCAAGCCAGCCACCCAGCCACCCAGCCACCCAGCAAGCCAGCCAGCAAGCCCGCCATCCAGCCACCCAGCAAGCCACTTACTCAGTCACTTAGTAAGTCACTCACTTCCTTAAAGTCATTCTCTCACTCTCATTCAGAAGTTCACTTACTCATTCACTCTCTCAATCAGTCTCTCTATGTGAGGGTTCATATGTTTGAATATTGACTAAAATAATCTTATTTCATTTGGAATTATTCACAATTGCTGTTTTCTACTTTTTGAGTTTAAAAAGGGAATGTAGTATATATCATTTAGTGTTTTAGAGATCTCTTAATTTCAACAAATGAATTTATTAATAGAGAAACATGTGAATCCATTGAGGATTGCATCAAAATACCAAACATATACATACTCAAAAATAGCAAGAGCTGCTCAAATGTTTTAGATCTAAATCATGAACCCCATTTTGTACTTTCAGAAGATGAATTTATGTCTGAGATAAGAAGTTAAAGAAGAGGAAATGTACTATTATGTGAGTATTAAAAATATATCCATTCTGAATTTTCCTACATTTCCAAGAGTTTTCATAAGCAATGATTCTTATTAATCACAACCTTAATTCTATTGATTTAATGTACTCTTTGGGTGTGCCTATGATGACTGCATAAGGTTGCATAGATTCTTGGGAAGATGTTCTCAGCCTGGCAACCTAACACTATTCAGTACATCTTTTGAAACTAAAAAAATTGAGGAAGCTGTAAATGTGATGTTGATTTTTTTTTATTAATCAGATGGTTTCCATAAAGTCATGTTTTTTTAAGTCATGTTTTTAATTGATCTGCATTTGTAACCATT